GAGAGAGAGAGAGAGAGACTAACGAACGGACGAAAGGGAAGGTGTGTGTGAGAGAGAGAGAGAGAGGAGCTAAACACGGGTGACCGGCTACTTACCTGCATCTGTTCAATAGCTTGAAGTAACTTGCTACGGAAGTGGAGGGTGGAGGAGCTGTGACTCTTTTCCATATCATGTCGTAAGGCTTTCACATCTTTCCACGTACATGCAATCTAAGTTTACAGAGAAATCACACAGTTGATTCGAAGTTTAACCGGGACCAACAAAAAAATTCCTTTATTATGAAAAACTCACATAACTATTTGTGTGTGATATAAAGATTTCAAAGTGCTAGAAATAATCACTGTTGACTTACTTTAGTTTATCTTTAAATTTGTTTGTTTTAAAACAAAGCCAACTTATGCTATCTGCCGTGTCCACCGCGGGAATCGAACCCCGGAGTTTAGCGTTGTAAGCCCGCAGACTCACTGTTTTCCTCTCGGGGGACTAATCTTCAAATAGCCTATTGGTAAACTGTCGTAAAATTATATTAGTTTCTGTGAGGTTGTAAACATTAGAATTAACTGTATAAATTTGGTAAATTGTCGTAAGATGATATTAGTTTCTTTGAGGTTGTAAACATTAGAATTAACTGTATAACTTTGGTAAACTGTCGTAAAATGATATTAGTTTCTGTGAGGTTGTAAACATTAGAATTAACTGTATAACTTTGGTAAACTGTCGTAAAATGATATTAGTTACTGTGAGGTTGTAAACATAAGAATTAATTGTATAAATTTGGTAAACTGTCGTAAAATGATATTAGTTTCTGTGATGTTGTAAACATTAGAATTAATTGTATAACTTTGGTAAACTGTCGTAAAATTATATTAGTTTCTGTGAGGTTGTAAACATTAGAATTAATTGTATAACTTTGGTAAACTGTCGTAAAATGATATTAGTTTCTGTGATGTTACAAACATTAGAATTAACTGTATAACTTTTGTAAACTGTCGTAAAATGATATTAGTTTCTGTGAGGTTGTAAACATTAGAATTAATTGTATAACTTTGGTAAACTGTCGTAAAATGATATTAGTTTCTGTGAGGTTGTAAACATTAGAATTAACTGTATAACTTTGGTAAACTGTCGTAAAAGGATATTAGTTTCTGTGAGGTTGTAAACATTAGAATTAACTGTATAACTTTGGTAAACTGTCGTAAAAGGATATTAGTTTCTGTGAGGTTGTAAACATTAGAATT